TCAACCCACGTGCGACGTCCTCATTCGTCCCCCCGCCACCTCATCACAAACCCCAATGCCTTCGCACGTGCCGAGTGCACTTTTCGCTGTCCCCATTTCGAAGTTGGGACAGCCCAGGAAGGCGATCTAAGTTACCATTCGCATGATTTCCCATGGCCCAGTTCGGCAGGCATTCTCGCCATTATCGCCATTATGGGCATTTTTAACGGGCCCCCAAAAATGGCCTCCCGAAACCGATGCGAAAGCAGACAGCAGCTACAGTGAGACCTCGGAAAAATGGGCCCGTGGCATTAAATGGACCAATATTAATGGCATCAACCGAAAACGACACTTCGCAGAAGCCCGTTTGCACCTGCGCTAATGGAGCGCAGAATCACTGTACGGGTAGCCCGGGCAGCCCTGCAAATCAGCTGGAAACGTCTAAAAACATGGGTTCAGCCCGTCGATGGGTTCAGCCCGTCGATGTGTTAGTGACGGTGTGTTGGTGAAGTGCGATTTTCCTGCGGGCACGAAGACGGGTGAGAAAGTCTGGGAAAAGTTTTTTCAGGGCAAGAAGTGATTGCCCCGAATCAGTGAACCGCCGCATGGTGCGGGACCTCGAGGCCGCATGGTGCGGCGGATGAGATAATGGCCAGTTTGCCTGAGAAAAAAGGTTCGAGGAAGGTTCCTCTGGTGGAAATTGCCAGCGTTAAAAGGGGTGTTCGGCTGGCATTCCATTATTGTCTGGTTCAGTGCTGATCCGCTTATATCGAGCCTAGATAACCTTTCACGCGCTTATCAAAGAAGGTTCCAGGGTGGTCGGTTTACTGTAGCCTATACGAGGAAACCGTTTTTTTAATGCCTGCCGAACTGGGGCCCAGTTTGGAAGGCATTGTGGGCATTTTGGGCATTTTTGCCATTTTTAACTGGCCCCCAAATAATGCCCCCTCAAAACAGCTGCGAAATCAGACTGTAGCTGCAGTGCACCTTCGAGAAAAATGGTGTTGAGTGTTCAGTTGGCATTTCTTGGGTTTAAGATTGATGGCATCAATCGAGATTTATTTTCACAGAAGCTGGGAGGCAGTTGCTTTGAAGGATCGCACCCACGTATGATTAGCTGGCATATTTGACCAGTGCACTTTTGATTGGCCGCATCACTGATCCACCGTGTGGTGCGGGACCTCGAGGCCGCATGGTGCGGCGGATCAAGGGCTGTTTGGTTGGCATTTCATTAATGTCAGGCTCGGCGTAGTCCGCTAATGTCGAGCCTTCATAACCATTCACGCGCTTATCAAAGAAGGTTCCAGGGTGGTCGGTTCACTGTAGCCCATCCCCCTCGCCCGGTTTTTTTATGCCTGCCAAACTGGGCCTGGGCCCATGACTCTTGCGAGGTCTTTCGTAGTCCGGCGGACACGACGGAAGTAATCCGCAACCGTGAGTTTTATGAGTCCTGGTGGGCGCAAACCACCAGGTGCCCCCCTGGTGGATTCCCGTTTCCACCAGGACGCGGAGCCGGCGGAAGCGTTCTGCCCGGGGCAAAAAAAATAAACCCCAACGCGACCGGCATGCCTTCGGGAGCCTCAACCCTAAGATTTTAGGGTTGAGGCTCCCGAACCGCATGCCGGTCGCGTTGGGGTTTGGTTTTTTTCCGGCCCGCGGGCAGATCGCTTCCGCGAGCGCGCGGAAGCGATCCCGCGTTCGCCCGCGTTTTCCCGACAGGGCGCGTATGAACCTTCGAGAAACAAGCGGGAACATCCCCCTTACCCTAAGCCCAGCCCGAAAGTCTCATCCATCTGCAGTGGGGAGTTCTTCCCGCCATCTTTCCAAGCACACACCGCTTGCAAACCCGTTGGCATGAACTTCACTGTCACCGTCACCGTCACCTGTCACCGTCACCGTCACCGTCAGCCTCGCTGGGGGGATCATCGGGTTGTTGAATCTGGGTGGTGCAATTGTGCCCGGCATTCACAGGCCTTGTTCGGCTGCACAAGTTAGAGGCCACAACCAAACAACAACCAGCCAGAAATCGAACTAACCAAGCAGATCTCCAGGTTCGGCACGCCTGCTGACTCAAGGTGACGTGTAAAAACCCCCTACGATTCGTCGGATTGCCGAACTTCTTTCCTAACCAGTTTCGCATTGGTTTCAGGTTTGTAGATGGTTCCATGACAGACCAACAGTGCCAACCAACCAGAACAGCACAGTAAAACACGGGCAAAAAGAAGCTCATTGCTAGTTGAACTACGGCCCAGTGCTGATCCTGCTCTCGAGGTGGGGTGAATGGAAGTTTGTTCATTGGAATTACTCAACAGACCGTCCACTGGCTAGAGTACTGGTCCCCCAACCTCCAACTGCCCAAAAAGCGGGTAAACTTAGGCTTGCATAATTAAAAAAAAGTCCCCTCGCCCGTCGCAACCTGCCTGAGGTACCGCGTCCCAACCAAGCCTGATTGTGTTTTTTTTTGTGGTCCTTCCCTTTTTTTTTTGGTTCTCTGCAGAGCATGCGGGGGAAACCGTTCGGATTATTACGCACCTTCTGGGAATTTCGCTCCGTGGTTGGATGCTGCAGTTTCGCTCCGTGGCTGCACGTAGCAATACTGCACAGTATTGGATGCTGCTGATGCAAGCCGCGAATCCCTACTGTACAGTAACTGCTTTGCTCAACATCGCAGACTGTTGAGAAGTACAGTATCGGTGCTGAACATCTGGCCTATTCCAGCGCACTTCCCTCCCGAGTTTCTTTGAGGTCTTCACGTCCTCGAATGGGCAGGAAGGCTTCACCGAACGACGTTCTTGTGTCGTTCGGCAAACAACTGCTTCTTGCGAAGTCGTTCGAAGTCGCAGAAATAGATCGCCAGAAAGCAACGCGCATTCGCCAGGAACTGCTGCACCTCCCCGGAGCGCACACGTATCGTACACGTGATGAGTGGGATAGGCTGAACAGGCTCTTGCCAGCATTCAAGGTTCAAGATTCAAGGACGTTCGCGTCTCGTTCGGCTTAGTTGTTCTTGGGGAGTCTTTCGAGGTCACCGAAAGCGGCAGGAAGCAAATGCACAAGGCTGGCCAAGAACTGCTGCTCCTCTCAGAGCATCGTCTGTCAGTCAGGATAGGGTTTGGATGCCTGTGGGATTGCTCATACTGTACTACCAAGCATCCACAAGAGCCGTGTGAAACAAGCGCGAACATCAGAATCACTACCACCACTCCATGTCTGGGGGATCATCTCTGATCTGATGGCGACCGCCGCTGTATGCAGCCGGACTGGACGACATCACTCGGGGGGAGGCCGAAAGGCCGTTGCAAGCCGAATGTTCTATCCGAGTCTTAGTTTTTTCGTGACAAATAGCGACTCGCGTCTCGACGCAGGCATGGCGAAGCCCACCATACCGCCCGTCCATGATCATAGCTCCTGGCTGTTGTCGCTCTGGCTCATCGCAAAAAGGGCCTTCGGAGTGTCTTTTCTGGCAACAATGGCGTTCGCAATGCTGCTAGTGTGGGTGTACAGTTTCTCGTCCGGCGCGAGTCCAGGTGTCACAGCCTTCCGCGATTCCTTAGATTCGTGCGTGGGAGTTGGCCTCGCGTACAAGGGAATGCATAGCATGTCATTTTTCCGCGGAATTGCGTGCTCCGATTTGGTGAACGCAGCCGCCCTACGCGGTAAAGAAGGCTTCGATAGGGGGAATGAAAGTCATAACCGTCACATGGCGACCGGAGGTGACAGCAGCAGCGCCAGTAGCGGCAGCGAAGTGGGAAATAGTTCAGGAGCCAATATCATGGGAGCGGCGGAGAATCCGGAGAGAGACGGTTGCGAAGTCATTTATGATTCCAGCGTGGATCCTCGCGATATAAAGCCCACCTCTTCCTTCACCCACTCCGGCTGTCAGATCGAATGGATAACTTTCTCCACCCGGTGTGGAAAAGGCGTTCAACGCTTAGCTAAGTTCTGCGATTTGGTGGGAGTTCCGTTCGCGGTGCTAGGTCTAAACGAGACCTGGAAGGGACTAGGCGGCCGTGTAAGGTACTATCGGGAGTATTTAAGGACTCTACCGCGTGACCGGATTGTGATTGTAACGGATGCGGACGACGTCTTGTTTCTGCCGAATCGCGAGCTATGCGGACCAGATCAACTCGTAAAAGCGTTCCTTTCGCTAAACGCGCCTGTCGTTTTCGGAGCCGAAATCTTCGCCTATCCGACAATAGACGTCATTCCGTTCTATCCACAGAAGCTGAAGTATCCTTTTCCAAATCGCCACCTTAACGCGGGGTCTTATATTGGATACGCGTGGGCGTTATCGGAGATGATCGACGCGACGTACACGAGCGACTGTATGGAAGATCAGCGACAGTTCGTTACTGGTTACTTGGCCCAAACCTACCTCTTCAACTCCCTCCCACGGACACCATTCCCGAAAACAAATTTTACCTCGATACAGTCACTCATTTCCCAACAAACAGCATTAGCTACTACACTAGAAACAACTGCTCGTTCGAATAGAAAACTACAGATTTCCTCCTCGACCGTCATCACTACTCCCGGCACTCTGAAATACTTTTGTGCTCTACCCGGCCCGTTACAAGACCTGATTCCAGAGGACGTGACTCCGGAGAAGCTAGAGGCGGCGAGGCAGGCAGCGCCGCCGCCGTTTATCAAGCTGGACCATTACAACGCTCTGATGGAGCTGCTGGGAGGGCGGAGATTCGAGCAGTTTGAAGTGCAGGGGACTGGAATGGAGATCGAAGTGTATTCGAGGGTTACTAAAGCGTATCCGTGTATTTTCCACCAATCTGGTGATAAGCTGAAGAGGGGGGTGGTGAATGAGATTGTGGAGAATGGGACCCTGGATGCCATTGCATTTGGATGAAGCAGCAAGTTGCATTGCATATTTACTGGGTTGTTATTAGGGTTTAGAGATGCCATTTTGTTCTAGAAACAGCTGTAGAAATGTTGCAATCTACCGTTATTGATGAGCCCATCAGAATTCCCCTTCTGTAGCACCCCTTCTTGCCAAAAGTTATTTTAACTCATTTGCTGTGCACTACAGTGCAGTGCACCCCTTCACACTCCTCACTGCAGTGCCCACCCACACCCATTGTCGCATTGCCCCCACCAGTAACAGATGACTGGCTAGATGGAATGCCAATGCGGATGGCATTCACCCTTGCAGCATCTGAAGAAGTGGACAAATACGGGAAGATGGCAACATTCTGAGCGGTCCAAAAGGCAATTGGATGGTGCAGAGCGGTTCAGATGGCATTCAGATGTGCAGAGCGGATCAGATGGCATCCATGAAGAATGAAGCGCCCCAAGAGAAAGGCCAGTGCAAAAGGTCGGCTCGCCTGATTTGTGCCCCGGAGGTAGGTCATTTCCTCATTACTCCTTAGTTGACTGCCTTATTCACCGTTCCACTACCCTCACCTTCGATATATGACGTGTGAAAACTTCTCATTCCCTCTTCGCCCATTGGTCTTCACAACCCCATTCACTGGCCCATTCATTGGCCCACTCACCCCACGTCCACCACCACTACTCCCAACTGCACTGGCTGCTCCAATACCTGCAGTGCTGTGCCCCAAGAAGCAGCAGAGGATGGCAAACGGCAGGACGAACCGCACGGAATTCATTGCAATGAAGTAGCCCCAGAAGTAGATCAGGTCCGGTCTGGGTGGCAGTGCTTGGAATCTTCCAGGAAGCTCGTAGCAAAGAGGATGATGCTGCCGTACAGCTGGTGCTGGCCGAGCGAGACGGCGGATTGGAGGAGGGGAGAGAAGGGCCTTCGAGATGCCATGGCATACCTGTGATGTGAGGGATACGGTGGGTTTGGGTCCGTTTGGGTGGGTTTGGATAGGCATATGACATCGGCTTACAGCTGGACTTGAGAAATTGCTAGTAGGAGTGGGAAGACGGGTGTTCAAGATGCCATGGATGGAGGGAAGTAGCTGTGAGGGTTGTTGTGGGGTGTGGAGTGGAGGATTGGTGTTGAATGGGTATGCAAGCGGTGGGAGCATGATGACACACAGATGAGGTGACCACGTCGCTGAGATGGGATGTGGCTTGTGGTTCAGTGAGGGAGGGAGGTGGATGATGTGTATTTGTGGCTGGGGTGGGGACGGAGACTGTGCAGTGAAGGATGGGGGAGGACGGTTTGCGTTGCGGTATATGAGCAGGAGGGAAGGGATGAAGGAAGGGCGGAGAGGAGGGAACGGAGGAGGGCAGGGAGGAGGGAAGGGAGGAGGGAAGGGAGGAGGGAAGGGAGGAGGGAAGGGAGGAGGGCAGGGAGGAGGGCAGGGAGGAGGGAAGGGAGGAGGGAAGGGAGGAGGGAAGGGAGGAGGGAACGGAGGAGGGAACGGAGGAGGGAACGGAGGAGGGAAGGGAGGAGGGAAGGGAGGAGGGAAGGGAGGAGGGAAGGGAGGAGGGAAAGGTGGGGGACGAGGGATGAAGGAAGGGAGGGGGAAAAGGAGGAGGGAAGGGATGAGGGAGAAGAGGGAGGGAGGAGGAGGGAGGGGAGGGGGGGGAGGAGGAGGGACGGAAGGGGAGAAAGGAGGAGGGAAGGGGGGAAAGGAAGAGGTAAGGGAGGGGGGAAAGGAGGAGGGAAGGGAGGGGGGAAGGGAGGAGGGAAGGGAGGAGGGAAAGGGACAGCGAGACGAAAAACGGATGATACTGCCACTTAGCAAGGCGCGGGAATAATACAAGTTTAGCGAATGACTTTAGAGTGAACTCAGAGCTGGCCAGGGAGAAAGCAAACGTCAGCCTGGGGAACGGGGAGGGCGAAGAAGAGGGAGGACCATGGGGACTTTCTTTCTAGCACCATGGAGTGTCGCGATTGCAGGCGGGTGGGATAGGGGGGGAAGGGGGAACGAGGAAAGGGGAAGGGGGAGGAGAATGGGGAGGGGAAGGGAGTGGACGAGTCCTTGAACGTCTTACAGGATAGGGCTGACAGGATAGGGCATACAGAATAAGGCATACAGGATAAGGCATACAGGATAAGGCATACAGGATAAGGCATACACTACAAGGCTTACATATTAGGGCATACATAATAAGGCATACATTATAAGGCATACATAATAAGGCTTACATATAAGGCTTACATCTTAAGGCATACAATATAAAGCTTACATGCTACGGCTCACTCATAGGATGAGGAAGCAGGAGCGCCTGTTAATAACGACAGTGACCGACCATTTCAACATCATGGCACACAGCCATCTCGAGTGGCTAACATGAATCAGCCTTGCTCTACTCCTTCCCAGCGAGGGGGGGGAAACAAGCAGGGCAAACGGAATGAGCGGGGCAGGAAAGACGAGGTGAACGAGAGAACATGGCATCACAGGTGAGTCAGTCAGCCTTGCTCTACTCCTTCCCAGCGAGGGGTGGTGCGAGAGCGTTGAAGGTGACAGAAGGATAGAAACGGGCAGGTTACGAGGGAAGAAGAGCGCACAGGCATGCGAGTGGCTCCTTCCATGTGAGAGGTGGTGCAATTAGACGGATGAAAATGAAAGGTGATGGCAAGGAGAACCAGTTTTGGCATCACACGATAAGAATCAGGTTTGCAGGCATTGCTGGTGATGGCACAAAGGGATGGAGAGGAGGTCAGGGGAGAGAAGGGAAGGTAAGTACACACGCTTTGCACCAACCGCATCTCTCAGCCCCACACGTGCACGCGTGTAACACACACGCGTTGCTGGTGGGAATGGATAGCGGGTACCACATCTGCTCATGTAGTCTCCGAACAGATGGGGTGGTCTTACAGTCTACACGAGCACATCAAACGCCACCACCAACGATCCTCCCAGCAGCATACGGGTAGCAAAGGGGAATGCGTAGCAGGCACCCCACACACTCCAAGCACCACCGGCAGCAACCCGACCCAACGCCAGCCTTCACCACAAAGAGTGAGTCAAGTCAACTGCACCCAACGGGTCTCCAGCTGCATACGGACTGCATTGCTTGCCAATTGACTCCAAGCATGAGCAGGGACCCCATGAGCATGAGCAGGGACCCCATGAGCATGAGCAGGGACCCCATGAGCATGAGCAGGGACCCCATGAGCAGGGACCCCATGAGCAGCATACGGAGTCAATCCAAGCATCACCTGTCACTCTGGGAGCCCCACACGTACACGCATCATTAAGATAAGCAGGACCCGTGTTACCAATGCGTCAACCCAACCCAAGCATCACCGTCGCCCCGACAGCATTGCCGGTGCTGCAGTGCTCATGGGGTCCGGGAACGCAACGAACGTGCCCTCCCGCACCACGTGGATCCCAACCCTTCCCCCATGATTCATCCCAAGCAAGCGTCTAGCATAAGGCACGTACACGGTACACCGTTACACGCATCTAGAAGGAACGCGTTGCTGGTGCTGCTCATGAGGTCCGGGAATGCAACGAACGGGCCTTCCAGCATCACGTGGGTGGCCCACCAGCAGAAGATGTGGCGGCGGCGGGTGGAGGAAACAAGGGGCGGGGAGGGGACAGAGAAGAGAAGGGGGGTGCGGGGAGGCGGGAAGGAGAGGAAAGAAGGTGGCCCCTTCACGTCCCACCAGCAGAAGATGTTGGGCCTATCTAGAGCCGACATGTGGCGACAGAAGCCTGACAACGGGCGTGGGAGATGGCAGGTGCAGGAAAAGTGAAGTGGGAGGAGGGGGAAGACGGGGCAAGCGGAGGTTGTATGAGGGATAAGTAAGGAGGGTGAAGTTAGTAATAAGTTTTAGCAATGGGGGTGACAGGAGTGGGCAGGAAGGCGCATGAGTGCGGGACGGCGGGGAGTGGAAAGCAGGATGCTAGAGGCGACTAGAGGCGAAGGCTAGAGATAATTCGCATGATTCTTAAGAATGCCACAAATTGCATGACTGGATCGCATGGATTGCATAGGGGCGAGGAGGGATGAGAGGGTGCGGAGGAGATGCGAGGATGGGAAGGGGATGAGAGAGTGGGGAGGGAATGAGAGGGATGAGAGCCGATTTTCCTGCACCTCACTCCTCGCCGCTGCTCATATGCAGCCTTCGCCCCTCCCAAAACTCGCTCACGAGACGGTGGGGAGTGGAAGGCAGGATGGCAGTGGGGCGCAGATGCGCCTTCGTAAATGCTAAGGCTCGAGATCAATCGCATGAGTCGCGTGAACAGGAATGTGGCTTCATTGCCTTCGCATGTTAGGTGGTAATGCTGCGTAGGGAGGGAAGGAGAGGGTGGGGAGAAGACGGAAGGGTGGGTAAGGGATGAGATGGCGTGGAGGGGATGAAAGGGTGGGGAAGAGATGAAAGGGAGGGAAGGAGAGGGTGGGGAGGGGATGAGCGGGTGGGGAGGGGATGAGCGGGTGGGGAGGGGATGAGCGGGTGGGGAGGGGAGGGGGGGGGGGGGGGATGGGAGGCCGGGGAGAGGGGAGAGGGTGGGGCGGGGATGAGAAGGTGGGGAGGGGACGAGTGAGCCGATGGTTTGCACCTCACTCGTCGCCGCTGCAAATATGCGGCATCCGCTGCACATCGCATTCTTCGCCACGTCTCGTGAAGGTTTCCAGCTCGCCGCTCTCAAGGCTGCTCGCTCCCAAGGCTGCTCGCTCCCAAGGCTGCTCGCTCCCAAGGCTGCTCGCTCCCAAGGCTGCTCGCTCCTAGCTCGCCGCTCCCGGCGGTCAGGTTTCCCATCCAAGTCGCTCGTCGCCGCGTCAGCAGATTCGCGCGTCGAGCGTTGCGCGACGCCGCGTCGGCAGCGTAGAGCGTCGCCGCGTCGGGAGCGGGGAAGGGGGGTGGAGGGGCGGGGGAGGAGGAGGGGGGGGAGGGGGATGCGGATGGCGTTGCGCTGTACGGCGCGCGGAAGCGTGGGAGGCTACAGGCGCGGAGAGGTGGACTCGAGTGGTGCGGCGGAGGCGGTACTCGAACGAGGGGCGCGGCTCACGAGGCCCCCCAGGCGGCGAACTATGGATGGGAAGGATTACGAAGGGGTGCTGGAAGGGGTGCTGGAAGGGGTGCTGGAAGGGGTGCTGGAAGGAACACGAAGCTCAACGCCGCGGCGCAAACGAGAACAGTTTCTATCGAGAGCCATGACGCGACACCATGGAGGTGACGCATAAAATCGCGTCGCGTGGGGGCATGCTGGGCTGGAAACTGTTTGTACTGCACCGCGCGGAGTGGGGGGGACTTGGATAAATCAACCTGCTTTGCATTACGCTTTGCATAAACCTGAAGCTGCTGAGATAGCTACCTCAAGGGTTTCAGTTGGAACCAAGCCAGGCTGAAACTCGTGCTGTAGACGTGGCATCGGAATGAAGGAACACACGGTCGTTGAGACCCACGGAACACGATTGGAAAATGCCAAAGCGAAAAATAAATTAGAAAATGATGCACAATTCAGGCATACCTTTCTCGGCCTTTTGGCTAAGATCAAGTGTAGTATCTGTTCTTATCAGTTTAATATCTGATACGTGGACCATCGGTCCATATGATATTAAATTAATTTCTTTTGGGGGCAGGTGCCAATGGCCAGCTTGCTGGTCGGCCCTGCAAGCGTTGCCTCTTTATTGCACTAACTAAGAGGAAGGCGCACCCCTCCCCGCTGAGGGACCAAATGAAATTCAGAAATGGGATTGAACTTTGGCTGTGCTGCAATGTAAATTACCACTTTCCTACATAAGGGCGAATTTAGGAGATCGGCAGTAATTTGATTGTGCAACCACTGTTACATTGTTGAAGCGTGCCAAATATGGAAGAGCTTTCAGGTGCAACCGTATAGGACAAGATGCATTTTTGCCACCTGCTAATGCAAACTCAATGACCCCAGCCTGTCAGTCAACCTTGCTCCCCCTCTGTATTCTGCATTGGCATTTCCACGCCCTCTGTCAAATGTTATAGCTTCTAGTGGGTTATGCTATATGGGGTACAAACAGTTAGGGTTAGGTATTTGTACCCCAACCCAATCAATCCAACTCATTCCGCTGTTTTCAGTTCGTCAAATGGTATCAGCAGTAGGTTTGCCGTTCCTAGGCCACACCCAGTTTCTGCCGTTCTTGAACTTAGGCCGTCTCTAGCCTTGACGTGCCCTCTGTCAGAATGAAGAATGGATGATGCATTGATGTTGGTTGGGGTACATATAGCTAACATAGGCTACCCTAAGTTTTGTACCCCCTAAGACAAACCTCACTATAGGCTACAACATTTGACACACCCCCATAGCCTAAGTGAGGGGTGTCTAGCAGAACCACACGAGTACGGTCACAAGACCAGTCCAAGAAACGAAGCTCAGGGTGGATCACAACGTCACCACACAGTCTGAGCACAAACAACAGTGGCCACAAGGCCAGTCCAAGAAGTAACAGAGGTATATAGAAAGCAAAGTAAACAGTACACTCAAGTCTAAGCAACACGAGAACCAGTGTCAACAAGGCCTAACTGCACACAGCACCTCTGGTGGTCACAAGGCGGAAGCGCCTTGGTGAAGATGTCTGCAGTGTTGGCCTCGGACTCCACAAACTCAAAGCGAGCCTGTCCACGCCTCTGCAACTCTCGCAGAAGAAAGTACCTGACGTGAATGTGCTTCACTCTGCTCTCCAGTCGTGGCTCTCGACAAAGGAGAATAGACGCCTTGTTGTCAGTGAACAAGGTCGGTGCAGAGCTCGGCCGCTCACCAAGGTCGGTGAGCAAGAAGGTCAACCAACGCAGCTCCTGTGCCGCCATGGCACCAGCGTAGATCTCAGCCTCAGCTGTAGAGGTCGAGACCGAAGAGGAGCGCGTGGACCGCCAGGAAACAGCTCCAGAACCCAGGCTGAAACAGTACCCCTGAGTAGACCTGTGAGTCTCAGCGTCGTCAGCGTAAGAGGAGTCACAGTGACCAGTAAGTACGACAGACTGCTGCCCTCCAAGAACTAGCCCCACGCCTGACGTCGTCGCTAGGTACTTCGCCACCCTCACAGCTGCTGTCCAGTGAACAGGACGGTGTCTCCCTGGCGCAACAAAGCGCGCAAGAACGCTGAGAGGGAAGGCGAGGTCCGGGCGAGTACAAGTCATCAGGTACATGAGGCAACCCACAAGCTCTGCGTAGGGACCACTAGGCTCGAACGGCTCGTCAGGAAAGGGTCCAGTGAGTCTGTGGTCAACAGCAAGAGGTGTGCGCTGTACTGTGGAGTGCTGAAGCCCGAACCGCTGAAGGACCTGCTGCACCATGTGCGACTGTGAAAGTGTAATGGTGCGAGCAGCTCTGTCCCTGGTGATCTGCAGGCCAAGGTAGTGGCGCAGCTCACCAAGATCAGTGCAGGTGTGTCTCTTCTGCAGTTCGGACTTCACGTGTGCCAAAGCAACCCTGTCAGGGGTGGCGAAAACAAGGTCGTCAACGTAGACCAGAACAAAGAAAGGTGTGGGGCCACGACGAACGAACAGCGACGGGTCAGCAGAAGACGGCTGGAACCCAAGGTCAGACAGGGTAGAACGCAGGGTGTCGTGCCACTCACGAGGAGCCTGACGAAGACCGTAAACCGGTCGCCTCAGCCTCCACTGGGTCCCAGGAGGGAAAGAGCCAGTGAAGGCAGAGGGACGACGCAACCAGACCTCCTCGTGAAGACTGCCCTGAAGGAAAGCAGTAGAGAAGTCGAGAGAGTGTAACTCGTAGTCTCTCTGTGCTGCTACGTGTAGTAACACCCGAAGAGTGGTCATCTTCGGGGTGGGCGCGAAGGTCTGAAAGAAGTCAACTCCCTCGCGCTGACTGAAACCTCTAGCCACGTAGCGTGCCTTGAAGACCGGAGGAGATCCCGGTGGCCGCTTCACCCTGTAGATCCACATGCCGTCGACTACGTTCGCCCCCGGAGGGGGAACCTCATCGACGTAGGTGCCTGTGGATCTGTAGGAGGCCATCTTTGCGTCCATGGCAGCTCTCCACTGAGAGGCCCAAGGCCCTGACACTGCCTCAGCGTAAGTGCGAGGAGTCGGAATGTCAAGGGCGTCGGGGTCACCCTCAGGGGCG